TTATTTATAGATAGAATTTAATAAAGATAGTTAAGTAATAAATATTTAAAGATATTTTATTTAAGTCATTAGTTGGATTAATTGCTACAACTTATTTTTTTACAGATACAAGACCAGCTGTATTTATATCTAATTTGACTATTGTAAATTCATTATCTAATTACTAAAAGTTATTAATGATAATAATGAATTTAAGAATGAAATTAAGGAATAAATGGACTAAGTGCAAAAGAAACGATGTAAATTATATTATAAATTCTAATACAATTTACACCGTTCTATTGCACTCGACCAAATTGTAAAACATCTGGGTTACAACATTCGTGAAGTCCATGATGGAGTTGCTCGAGGAAATAATGCTGGATCAAGTACTTCTAAAATTACACTGGCGACATTTTCGAACTCTGGAAGGAATTAGAGTTGCTTTTCCAGGAGAGGAAAAGCACTCTATGGCAAGGGTGTATCCTAAAGTTGCCGAGGATCGTTATTAAGCTTAATAAAGGGATAGTAATCAGCGATGCCACCATTAAAAATTTCCATGAGCGTACGACTAAAAGGCCCAAAGAAGACACATTAGATGCATTATTGATTACAAACGTAGTTACCTGACTGTGACATCATCGCTCTCGCCACCTAGAAAAAAATTTTTTGTGCTGAAAGCCGTTATTTCGACACGTTCGAACTTCAACATGAACTTATTGAAGGCCCATACTCTCCTGTCTCGCACGCGCTCCATTGCGTCGCCAGTTAGGCTTTTCCAACAATCTCAAGTCGATGTGTTTGACCTCACCAGATCTCGTCAACTAGTAATGATCCGATCCTATTGTAGTGCTCAAGAAAAGGAAAGCACGGCTAGGTAAGAAACATTATTCCAGCTGATTTTAACTACAAAACCTCAACACTTATCAACAGACAAGCGGAAAAATACTGAAAAAGTACTGGAACTCATTCAAGACGGTGGTGACTGACCCGTCCACCAAAATGCGTTGAGATGTTTTACTAGGTTTTAGCAATTATTTTAACCGTTTCTTCTTTAGTCATCCAGGAAAAAATTCTAATTACCGCTGGCATTGGCCTTGTGTTTTCGTATTTGTACTTCGTCTACGAGAGCCTTGGAGCTCTCAATTCTAGATCATTGATGAAGCGCAAGAACCTCGAAAATCGTTTGAAGTCAATCTTGCAACCCTCTCTTGATGATTTACCAAGTAACTACCATCTAATTGTGGGCGAACATGGAACAGGAAAAACAACCTTAATTCAAATAACTATAATGAATCTCCAAGAGCCAATGGTAATCCATTCAATTTTTTCTTCCATTTCGGTCTATTCACGTTTAGTTTCTTTTTGATAGGTGTTGTCTTTTTTGAATATTCTACCGATGTGAATTCGAATGCGTTTGCAGAGCGTTTGACAGAAATCTAAATTGTGAGTTAAATCCAGTGAAGCCTCAGTATCTTATGTGGCAGTGGGTGGATACAGCTAGGAAAGGTACCATGTGATTCGCTTCATGACCACTCACACCATATTATACTCACAAAGGCTTTACTTGGCGTGCAGATCTATCAAAGGGTTCACAACAACCCATTTGGAATCTCTTGAGTCAGCAACTTCTCAACACTTCGTTTCACTATGCGCAAAAATAAAATAGTCCGATGTTTTGATTCTTGATCAAGCAGATCGCATCACTAAGAAAGGCACAGAATTTATTGTGTTATTCCAAGATTTTGCGAAGGACGGTACGGATAAACACACGCTCGTCATTATATTTGTCTCGAGTGAAGGTTTGGTCCCGCAACTTATGCGATGTAGGAATGCTATAATTTTATTCTGTTATATGTGATCGAGTTGTTCTTACTAAATCAGATTCCTATTATTACAACTCGTTTTGTGTGGTCGCTGGCAAATATGCTATGGAAGTTGGTGACCTCAGATGAAGAAGTCATTAAATACTTGCGAGATTCTGGTATTGATCAAGAAACCGCTGACGGCTGGGCGACTTGCTTTCTTGTCAAGGGTCAAATATCACACCTCTAAAAGTTTGCTTCAAAGTATGTATTTGTTGCAATTCCTTCTCAATTAGTTTGTTTTCTTCTAATTCCAGTAGCATGGAAGAACTAATTGTTCTTGCAGATTTCGAACGGTTTGGAAGCGCTGGCAGTCCCTACAAACCATGCAATTTTCATAAAACTTCTTGAAGTACATATATTAGGCAACGAGCAAGCTAAAACCATCATGGATTCCAAAACGCGTCGTAAACTTATTGAAGCTAATATTCTCAAAGAATCTACAGACGGCAAGCTGTCCTTTTATGAGCGTTGCGTCGAAACCTACTTTAGAGGTAATTACTATTAGCAATATTCTGATTTGATTCGAACTAATATGCCAAATAAGTAGAAAGTAAAGCCATTTTTTGGCCCATTAATTTGACGATCACATGATAATTTTTTGCGTGACATGTATATCACAGCGCAGTAAATTCATTGTCCGCTTTCGTGATAGGTTGGTTTGATCTCTCTTATGGATCAACCTCATTAGGATATGGTCCAGGAGTCGCAAATTATCATATGCGAAGCGTTCGAATTGCATTTAATAATTTTGCATTAATAATTCTCTTAGATCCTTATATATACGAATTAGCGTCCCAAACACCACGTAATCTGGCCGGAAATAGAAGATAAAGTCTACGACTCATCACGTGTAGCATGTACTATGATTTTTTATGTCGCATGGCGTAAATCCTAGGATTGGTTGTGTATTTCATTGGATCATCCCGCGTTTTTTCACGCGCGTGGGTCGTAAGCCCATATCCACTCAGTGAGATGGCGGAAGATCTAAACTAATTTGTTTATAGTTTGCAAATTTAATCAAGCCTGTCCTCGAGAAGTCGAATTGATATGAAGAAATTAATATTTGATCCTCTATCACGCGATTACGGATTCCAAATCGCCGTCTATAAAAACACGCTAGGACACAGTGCCCCGCAAAGTGTATCTTGAGTCATATCTCCAGGTCTGCTACAAAACTCGAAAAATTTCTGTTATCCTAACGAGCGCACAAACATCATACAAATCACGCTACGCGGGACACTGTCCTAACACTCCAAATGACTTCCAATTTTCCATTACTCATCTTATGTTATTCCAAACGTCATTGATCTACGGCGCAGCTGTATAATACTTCCACGATATAGAAAACATTTATTGCAGAATGGATTGCTAAGGTTGCAACATACAAAAAGCAAAGCTCCACCAAATCACTCAGTGAAACAATACATACTACTCTTCTGGAATGAGCTCTTATTAAATTTCGAAATTCTCTATGGTGGGAAAACCTACAAAATGGCCACGCCAACATTTAGCCGAAAACGAAATATCTATATAGTCTATGTGGGAAATAAAATTAAATAATTTCTAGTTAATTTTGTTAATTATATTAAAAATAGAGTATGTGATGTCAGTAAATCAAAAAATTTCCATTCAAGAGCCAATTTTTTTTATCTGATAATATCACATACTCTATTCTTGAATTTGGGTAGATTATAAGTAATTATAAAAAGTTATAATGATATATAATAATAAATAGTAAGTCACATGAAAAGTCACATATATAAAATCACTTGTTCAGATTATATAAAAAAAGATTACATGATTTCAAATTCATTTAATAAAAATATAATTAAATAATAAATAATTAATTTAAATTATTAAAAATATTAAATATAATAAAAGGAATTAATTATTCATAAAATAAATATATTATAAAATATTTTACTTGTAATAATATTTGTTATAAATACTATATAATTTTTGAATAAAAGTACAAGTTACCCAAATATATTTATTATAAATACTATATAATTTGATATATTAATTTTAGGCTTTTTAATACACATTTGCAATAAAACTTATATTTGAATAAAGGAATTATTATTATAATTTATAAATTTATTTTTAAGTTATATTTGTTATAATATAAATATTATATTTTAATATTGAAATTTTAAAAATACTTTCTAATTGTTTGAATTATAATATAATAAAATATAATTATTAACAAATTTTAGTTACTTAGTTTAAATACTTTGATACTTAATATATATTCAGTTTAATAGTTATAAAGTATTATTAATACTTTTAAATTATTCAGTTTAATCATTATAAAGTATTATTATTAATACTTTTAAATTATTATTAAAATATTATAAATTTCTTTGAATATTATAAATAACTTTGAGTATTTCAAAATAATAACAATATTATTAATTTAGTTTTTTTAATTTTAATATAAATTATTAATAGATTTAAAAAAATCTCAATTTATTAACTTATTAAATAATTTTTATTATATTTATTAAATAAATTATATATATAATTTTATAATTTTATTAGTTATTATAAATATTTTTTTATTTTTATATTAAAATAAAAATTATAATTTATATTTATATTTATATTTATATATTTTTTGAATTTTTATATAATTTTTATTTTAATATAAAAATAAAAAATAATTATTAATAAAATTAAAAACTTTTATATAAAATAAAAATTTTAATTTTACTATATTTTATTAAAAAAAATTACATGTATAATTTTATACTTTTGTTAGTTATTATATATAATTTTATAATTTTAATATATAATATACATATTATTTTAATATAATTAGTAAATTATAACAAAAAATCAGTTTAAAAATAAAATATATACAATCAAATTTCTTTATAGTTATATCTATTTATAATTATAGTTATTCTATTTTGCTTTTTTATTTATATATAAACATAATAAAAAATTTCTCTATAGTCATATTTTCTTTATTGTTATCAAATTTGACTTTTCTAAGAATAATAATTATAAAGAGATTTGATTATAATATCATTAAATTAAAAAAATTTTGTTTAAAATCCAATTAAATTGTTTAATTTTTACAAGAAAAATAATTTAATTAATTGATTAATTTTTTAATTTAATAAATTTTTTGAAATTATAAATAAAATATACAAAATTTAAGTTTTTATAAATTTGCTTTTTATTGTTATATTGTTATGATATGAATATTTAGTTCTTATTTTATTGGTTAATTCATATCATAAATTTAATTGGATAATATTT